TTCCCATTCACCACTTCATTTACACCACTTAAATCAACTTCAAGCAAAATGAAGAACAATTACACTGATCTCTGCTATTACATGAGTTTCTAAAATGCGAATTGGCTCATACGCGATTGGTAAATAGGGGACAGCTGTCTGTATAATAGGAAACTCGTGTTGGCTTATATGCAATTCCATCCCCGACATGTTTACGTTTTGCATGGTGGAGTAACACAACCGAACACGTCGATCCACGGAGGAATACACATGATGCTCAGCTGTCCCACGTGCTTTGTTTTGGAAGTGCCAATTATTGTAGGAGTGGCTCCTCAATTCTCCTTGCCCACATGAATCGTTCCATAAATGCTACACTATAAATTTAATGTGTTTAAACTGTGTAAACAATTTTAATAGGATAACTAACAAATTTGGTCAAGCTTTGGTTAGGCATTTGGTTAGGTTTTGAGTGGTCTGCCCCTTACCCTATTTTTCCCCATAAGCCCTGTTATTTTTATTGCGTGATTTTGCATAACGTGCGGTTTTACAGGAATGCATCTATTGCGCTAAAGCAGAGACGTCTGTACGTTGTTTTTATTTAGGGTTTTCTTTTGTTGTGCTGCTGCACAGAAAAGTTGGGGAAGATGACAATTCTTTGGTAACTTAGTGATATATAATACTGCAGGTCTGATTTGTCTGATTTCTAGTTGTGATCAAAATGTAGTGAACTTAACATTCTGCAGCATTTGTAGTTACGTAAACTCATGTAATAGCAGAGATACTGTATGTTGAAATAAAATATAAATGTTTATAAAACACTTGTTATTGAGTGCATACTGTAGATTAATTTCAATGTACAAGGTATACATTTAGCAATGGGTTGGTATAGGAAGGCTATTGTAGTGTGCATTGAAAAGTAAAGTTTGAAATCTTCCATTAAAGCAAATCTTAATTTTTAGCATTTTAACTAAATGACATTCACACACTCACACAAGCGCTAATTTTACCAGGAGCCAAGTAAATGACTATTATGTTTTTGGCCTGTGGGAGAAAACTCATATAAAAAATTGGAGAACATATAAATTAAATGAACACAGCACCCCAGATCTGGAATTTAACTCAGGGCCCAAGTGCTGCAAGGCAGCAATGCTAACCACTGCACCACTACGCCACCCCTTATGCACCCACTATTATTAACAGAAATACTGTCAATAATGTCATCTGTATGACAACATTGACTTGGTTCAGGTAGCTCTCAATTGGGTTCAACAGATTATTCAGTATTAAAAGAATCATAGATTTATGGGCTAGTCAAACAGTTAAACAATGAGCAATTTAACACTGAGAACAGTATTGGTTTGTAACTGTTTAACCAAAAAATAATTTAACGAAAACCAAACTCAGTTTTTCACTGCATATGCTGTTTGGCATGCTAGTAATTTGACATAGCTAATGCTTACATTTGGGTAAAAATTTAAGTAGAGACAATATATTGTTTTCAGTTTAACTAACTACTTTTCACAGAGCTGCAAGAACTTACACATGATCTAAAGGAATGGAATCCAAGCTCTCAATTGAAACCTTTTGC